TGTCCAGCGCCCGGGGAAGCCCCTTGCAGGACGCGAGAGGAGGAGAGGAGGCGGCCAGGTGCTCAGGGTCCAGCTTGGTCGCACTTCCCAGCTGGTCCCGACGCCCGGCTGGTGACCCCCTCCTCCCCGCCCTCGGGAGGCCCTTGATCTCCAGGTTCCAGGTTTTCAGGGGAGAACAGGCCCCCGACGGCCTCCCTCCTGGTCCCCAGGGTCGGTCCCCAGGGTCGCTGGGCTAGGCCACGCAGGCAGGGGCCCGAGCCCTCAGGTCAGGGGGTGAGACCCCGCCTTCGTCCCACCAGGTCAACGACGCCATCGGGAACGAGTGGCCCTGGATCTACTTCGTCACCCTCATCCTGCTGGGCTCCTTCTTCATCCTCAACCTGGTGCTGGGTGTGCTGAGTTTTGGAGGCAGAGGAGGAGGAGGGAAGAGGAGGAGGAGGAAGCGGGAGTGGAGGGGAGAGGAGGGAGAGGAGGGGAAGAAGGAGAAGGAGAAGGAGGAGGAGAAGGAGGAAGAGGAGGAGGAGGAGGAGGAAGGTGGAAGGAGGGAGGAGAAGGAGGAGGGGGAGCAGCAGCCGCCATCGGGAACGAGTGGCCCTGGATCTACTTCGTCACCCTCATCCTGCTGGGCTCCTTCTTCATCCTCAACCTGGTGCTGGGTGTGCTGAGCGGGTGAGGAGGGGGACAGAATCTGGTGAGGGGGCACAGGGCCTGGTGAGCGAAGGAGGAGGAGGAGGAGGAGGTGGGAGGAGGGAGGACAGAGGAGGAGGACAGAGGAGGACGAGGAGGACCAGGACAGGGAGACATGCATCAGAACCTCCGCTCTTCCCGCGTCCCCTTGAGCCAGGAGCGTGCTCCCTGGTCAGCGAGGAAGAGGCAGAAGGCGCAGGCGGGAGCCCGTCCTGTTTAGTTCCTCTCCCTCCCCTGGAGCACCCCCATCCTGCTGCCTCTGTCCCTCAGCCCCACCTCCTGGCCCTGGAGGAGCCGGAGCTCAGCACCGGGGGTCAGGGGGGCTCGGGCTCAGCCCGACTCTGGGGCCAGCTGGTCCCGTTCGGACCCTTGTGCTTCGGCCTCCTGGCTGCGTGACCTATGACCTAACCACTCTCCCCTTGAGCCAGGAGCGTGCTCCCTGGTCAGCGAGGAGGAGGCAGAAGGTGCAGGCGGGAGCCCATCCTATTTAGTTCCTCTCCCTCCCCTGGAGCCCCCCATCCTGCTGCCTCTGTCCCTCACGCCCCACCTCCTGGCCCTGGAGGAGCCGGAGCTCAGCACCGGGGGTCAGGGGGGCTCGGGCTCAGCCCGACTCTAGGGCCAGCTGGTCCCGTTCGGATCCCTGTGCTTCGGCCTCCTGGCTGCCTGACCTATGACCTAACCGCTCTGTGCCTGGGGGTCATCCCCCCTCCGCCCCCTTCCTCCCCCTCCCCCCTCCTCCCCCTCCCCTGCAGGGAGTTCACCAAGGAGCGCGAGAAGGCCAAGTCCCGGGGAACCTTCCAGAAGCTGCGGGAGAAGCAGCAGCTGGAGGAGGACCTCCGGGGCTACATGAGCTGGATCACGCAGGGCGAGGTCATGGACGTGGACGACCTGAGAGAAGGTGCGAGCCCAAGGCCGTGGCCACAGGCCCCTCCCCAGCTGCCCTCCCAGGGGCACCACCTCCCTGACCCCCCCATCCCCCCCCACACACCTGGGAGGCCGTGGAGCAGGTGGAGCCGCTCTGCAGAGAAGGAAACCACGGCCGAGAGGGTGAGGGACTGGCTCCTGGGGCCCCTCCTGGGGTACGAGGCACCACACGCAGGTCCTCACGGCCCCTTCCCTCTGGGGTCCCCGGGATCTGCCCTCGGGAAAGCAGAGAGAGCCCGGACCCCGCGGGCCCTGTCCAGGCGTCTGGGTCCGTGGGCCTGTCCAGGCGTGTCCAGCCCCAGGGGCCCAGCAATCCGGCCCTCGGTGTCTCTCTCGTCCCCAGGGAAGCTGTCCTTGGAGGAAGGCGGCTCGGACACGGAGAGCCTGTATGAGATCGAGGGCCTGAACAAGATCATCCAGTTCCTGTGAGTGTCCTGGGCTCCTCCCAGCCCCAGGCTGATTCTCTCTCATCATGGATGTCTCTCTCTCCCTCTCCCTTCCTCCCCGAAATCAATAAAAATATATATTTTTAAAAAAAGACCTGAGATTGTAGAACAGCCGGCTCCACCACTCACATGACTAGAGGGAGGGGGTGGTCAGACCCAGTGTGGCCAGGGGCGACCTGGAAGGTGGGGCTTAGGTAAAGCGGTCTTCCTCCGCTCTGTCCCGCCCCTCCCCGCCCAGCCGACACTGGAGGCAGTGGAACCGGATCTTTCGCTGGAAATGCCACGACCTGGTCAAGTCCCGGGCCTTCTACTGGCTGGTGATCCTGATCGTGGCCCTCAACACCCTGTCCATCGCCTCCGAGCACCACAACCAGCCCCTGTGGCTGACCCACCTGCAGGGTGAGACTCCCGCCTGCTCGCCCACCTGCTCACCCACCTGTAGGGTGAGACTCCCACCTGCTCACCCACCTGCTCACCCACCTGCAGGGTGAGGCCGGCTGGGAAAAGGCCAGCCAGGGGGTGGTGCCTTGGGCTTTGCATAAGAGGTCCATGAGATACACTGATCGGCTGCCTCCTGCACGCCCCCTACTGGGGATGGAGCCTGCAACCCGGGCCTGTGCCCCGACCAGGAATCGAACCGTGACCTCCTGGTTCACAGGTTGACGCTCAGCCCCTGAGCCACGCGGGCCGGGCTGGGTCAGTGTTCGTCCAATGGGCAAAAACGCCCCGGGCGTCCCTGGGTGTTGGGGGCGAGGGCTCCCCCAGGCAGAGGCTCGGGCGACGCTGAGCCCGCGCTGTGACCCCCAGACGTCGCCAACCGGGTGCTGCTGTCGCTCTTCACCCTGGAGATGCTGCTGAAGATGTACGGGCTGGGCCTGCGCCAGTACTTCATGTCCGTCTTCAACCGCTTCGACTGCTTCGTGGTGAGCAGCGGGCTCCTGGAGATCCTGCTGGTGGAGTCGGGCGCCATGACGCCCCTGGGCATCTCCGTGCTGCGCTGCATCCGCCTCCTGCGGCTCTTCAAGGTCACCAAGTGAGCGGGCGCCAGCCAGCGGGCAGGGGGGCTCAGCCACCGGGCAGGGGCGGGCCCAGCTCAGCACCCGGTCCAGGGTCCTGCAAACTCACACGAATTCACCCCCAGCTCTGGGCCTCAGTCCTCCCTTTTTATTTTTATTATTATTTCTTAAGTCCTCACCAAGGATCGTTTCCCCATTGATTTCTAGAGAAGGTGGAAGGGAGGGAGGACTGCAGCGGGCTCCTGGAGATCCTGCTGGTGGAGTCGGGCGCCATGACGCCCCTGGGCATCTCCGTGCTGCGCTGCATCCGCCTCCTGCGGCTCTTCAAGGTCACCATGGCGACGCTGAGCCCGCGCTGTGACCCCCAGACGTCGCCAACCGGGTGCTGCTGTCGCTCTTCACCCTGGAGATGCTGCTGAAGATGTACGGGCTGGGCCTGCGCCAGTACTTCATGTCCGTCTTCAACCGCTTCGACTGCTTGGTGGTGTGCAGCGGGCTCCTGGAGATCCTGCTGGTGGAGTCGGGCGCCATGACGCCCCTGGGCATCTCCGTGCTGCGCTGCCGCCTCCTGCTGCGGCTCTTCAAGGTCACCAAGTGAGCGGGCGCCAGCCAGCGGGCAGGGGGGCTCAGCCACCGGGCAGGGGCGGGGCCAGCTCAGCACCC